GTACATCAGATACAGCCGTACCTACACTAAAATAACCTGACATCAATAGTTCAGGCCCTAATGATCCCACAATTGGATTGCTGTCACCTGCCCTACAGGGAGGTTCCTTTTAAGTCAGAGAAATTCCAGCTGGTGCAGCGTGCAACTACTCAACTGGGAAATGGGGTATACAAATAGGACCATACAATACCAATCCTTAAAGTGCTTTGTGGACCCCAAGTGAAGGTGCTGCCATTAGTATAAAGCCCTAAAGAACTCAGGATTATTTAATTAAGCAGCATTTAAAAGACTGACTTCCCCCACAACCATCCAAACCATGCACTCAGATCAGCTGGGGGATTTCATCCTCATAGCCCAGCTGATTGGTTTGGTAAACAACGCAGCGACTAGGAGTTGGGCCATCCCATTATGGAATTTTCTTCCAGAGGAAGTAGAGTTGCCATCACACACTATTTGGCTTTAAATGACCACTGAAGATATTTTGTTTATTCAGGCACTATCAATATAATAATTCCACAGGATGAAGCCCCCACGTCAATGAATTCTGTTTTTAATTACTGCATTCCTGTTGTTTTATTGTTTTGCTGCACGTGTGTCTGTTTTATTACTGATTATTTTAGTTAAATTGATTTTCTGGAAAATTGTTATTATTTTTCTACACTATTCATGGAACTGTTGGAACGGTTGTGTAAAAATAAGAGCAATAATAGCAAAGACAGTAAATAAAAACTAGAAATTCTATTTGCCATACTAGGGAGCACCTAGTTATCAACTGCAAGACAGGTAGAAAATGTAGATGAACTAGACTCAAATAATCACTGATCCACTCTCATCACTTCTTTATGCCCATTTAGATCATTTCCTGAATTTGCTTGCTACATATAGTACATATATATAAAATGAGATGAGATGAGATGAGATGAAATGAAGTAAAATAAAATCAAAGAGTGGAAGAGTGAACAACCTTCACTAGGAAAGTTAATTCCAACCAACAAGCCTGGCGTTGTGTTAGTGGTGATCCTTTGTTCTCTGCCCTCTTTTTTCCAACTGCAATATCTATGCAAAAATCTCATTATTCCCTACAATGAGAAACTGAGGTTGGTCTAACCTTCATGGAACGAGGGAAGCCAAGGTCAAATATGAAAGGCAGCAATGGGTGCCAGCTCACAGGGAGGAGGAATTCAAAAAAAGGGCAGCCCTGGAACAAGACAACAAGTGCCAGTTGTCCTCTGTAATACTCCACGGCTTTGTTTGCTAACCTTAATCTCCTGCAAATTAGGAGAGACCTTTCTATCTTTATGTCTGCAAATTACACAAATGACGGTCCTTCAAGGCAGTGTTCTTACATCAAATTATGAAGTAAGACGGTGTGTTTGTGGGTACTCAATTACAAAAGAGCTTTCACATGATTTAGCAGTTTGTTCCCTAAGCAAAAGTGTCCGGGGAACATTTAATTGCTTCTAATAGATAAGGCTAGATAAGGAGAGACCATCGCTTGATGCTCAATAGAAAATACCTGAATTTATTTTGCGGATCACTCCAGGCTCCATCCCTGTCTTCTGAACTTAATCAGAATAGTCAAAACTGGACAATAATTTCAGATCTGGTATAAATAAGTTGATAGCCGAACATATGTATGGTATAAGGAAAGACCCTAAGCCAGTGTTGTCCAAACTCGGCCACTTTAAGATGAGGGGACTTCAACCCCCAGAATTCCCCAGCCCGGCCCGCCCGCCGGGGGATTTTGGGGGGTGAAGTCCAACTACCTTTTACGTGCCTAAATTTGTGCAACCACGGCTTGGGCGGCTCCTTATACCAT